AAAAAAAAAGACCGGGTTCCCATTCTCAGACTCCTCTGAACTCCTCCCGAGCCCCCATCCTGCAATCGTCTCCCTAACTCCAGCTGAGCCTCTCACCACAAGGTCCATGTGAGGACACCGTCATCCCCATGGCCACACCCCAGCCACACTCTCTGCATGCAGCTCACCTCTTCGACCCTACTGTAAAGAGCGAAGTTTGGAGAAGAAGCCCAGGCTGATGGGCAGGCCAACCTCGTTGCCCCCAGTGAATTCCAACTCCTGGCAACCCTATGTGTGTCCGAGTAGAGCCGCGCTCCAGGGCTTTGCAGCAGCTGACTCTTCAGAAGGCTGTCACCACACCGGTCTTCCCAGGGAGCCTCTGGGTGGAGTCAAACCACTATTTATTTACTTATTTTTAAAATGGTTTGTTTGTTTTTTCGTTTTATTTTATTGGGGGCTCTTACAGCTCTTATCACAATCCATCCATTGTGTCAAGCATATTTGTACATCTGTTGCCATCATCATTCTCAAAATTTTCTTTCTACTTGAGCCCTTGGTATCAGCTCATCACCACCCCCCACCCCCGTCTCCCTCTCCCTCCCTCATGAACCCTTGATAATATATCTTCTTTTTTTTTTTTTTTTCATGTCTTACACCAACCACTGTCTCCTTTTACCCAATTTTCTGTTGTCCATCCCCTGGGAGGGGGTTCCATGTCAATCACTGTGATCGGTTCCGCCTTTCTCCACCTTCTCCTTCTCCTCCTGGAATCACCACTCTCATTATTGGTCCTGAGGGGTTTATCTGTCCTGGGTTCCCTGTGTTTCCAGCTCTTATCTGTACCCATGTACATGCTCTAATCTAGCCAGATTTATAAGGTAGAATTGGGGTCATGATAGTTGGGGGGAGAAAGCATTACGAACTAGAGGAAAGATGTATGTTTTATTGGTACTGTACTGCACCCTGACTGGCTTGTCTCTTCCTGACCCTTCTGTAAGGGGATGTCCAATTGTCTATAGATGGGCTTTGAGTCTCCACTCTGCCCTCCCCTTCATTCACATCGATATGATTTGTTGTTCAATGTCCTTGATGCCTGATACCTGATCCCATAGACACCTTATGATCACACAGGCTAGTGTGCTTCTTCCATATGGGTTTTGTTGCTTCTCAGCTAGATGGCCGCTTGTTTGTCTTCAAGCCTTTAAGACCCCAGATGATCCTTTTTCCATCAGCATCTGAGCATGTTACCTGCTTCCACCACCCAGGACACTCCAGAAGACACAGAGAAATCAAAACATTCCCTTCTGTGGGTATGTTCTCATTAAGCATCGTATTCAAATGCCCTTCTCCGAGAACTACTGCTTTTCTATATTTTACCAAACCTACTGTTTAAAAAGTATATCTGAAGCATAATAATTCAATATATGGGCATAGAGGACTCTGAGAATTACACTGAGTCAACACCGTGTGTGCTGAAGTGAAGACCCTAAAGATCAGAGCCCACAGGAGTGGCCACAGCCCTCACACTGGGCGAATGGGCTCCCACTTGCTGAACTCGCCGCTAATGGATTGTGCGTTGCTGGCTGCGCGGCCTGCTTCCTCCTGGAGCCCTGCATCAGCTGCACGTTGCTGGACTGTGGTGCAGGAAGGCCTTCAGGAAATGATGTCCTGGGCTATCCAGCATGCCCTCTCCAATGCCTCCCTCACACTGATGTGCTCATCCACCCCCATGAACAGACAGGAAGGCCTGGTCCGGACAGTCCATACTGACTAGTCAAACCCAGGCCTCCCGTGCAAGCATGTGGCCTGCAGAATGGAAAATAAAAACCGCATTGTCCCACAGCCACGTTTGACATTTCCTTGTGGTTCTCCGAGCCTTTTGACTATAATGGAAATTCGAATCCATCTTCAGAGTGAGAGAGAGGGTGCCTGGGCCTGAAGGCCGTGAGCAGAGACCATGGGACGGGGAAGGGCAGCATCTTCCTTGATGTCCCTCTCTTGCCCTCCACTGACACTGGTTGCCATGGCCTTTGCCCTTCCTCAAGATTCCCTCTCAGGTGTGAATCTCATTTTAAACGAAGAAGCCCGAGACCCAGCTAACTTGCCCGGCATTGCACAGTTCGGAGGCAGTGAGGTCACTACCCAAGGTCAGGCTGTCAGCGCTGACAAAGATGCCGTCTTGGAGATCCAATAGAGGAGCCCTGGCGGCACAGTGGGTGACAAGTTGAACTGTTAACTGCAAGGTCAGCAGTTCGAATCCACCAGCCAGATGAGGCTTTCTGCTCCCATAAAGACTTACAGCCTCGGAAACCCACAGGGGCCGTTCTCCCCTAACCTGTAGGGTCGAAATCTACCTGATGGCAGTGGGTTTGGGTTGAGTTTGGTGTACGGGTCCCTGTGAGTCGGGATTGACTTGAGGGCAGTGAGTGGGTTCAAAATCACCCTTCGAGGCCACGACAGCTTCCCCTACCACGAGTCACTCACTCCGGTCCCAGGGTTGCAGGGGACAGCTGGGCGGCAGCATCCCTGATGAGAAGACAAGCTGACAGCTCTGCTGGCCTCGTTCTGCTTTCAGGTTCGCGCGTTTTTAGAATCGCTTGATGGAGAGCAGCTGGAAACCTTGAAAAGTGACCTGGTTTTCATTAAAGACATCTTTGCAGCCAAAGAATTAGAGAACGAAGAGGCTCCTGAACAAGGTAAAGGAAACACGTGGCATTGCCCCATACGCTGTTGGCATACACCGGACGGGGCTCAGGGACACAGCCCTATCCTGAGGTGCAGGGACTTCATTCGCCTGCCCCTCCGCCACGCGCCCAGGCGACCCCGGCCTGGGTGCTTGTGAGAGGCGCTTGTCACATGGGCCTACAGTTCTGTCCCTGGACGGGCCTGCCTGCCTTAGCCACTTGATGGCTCTGGTTCCCAGTACCCTGGGCACCCATAAATGCTTGGGGTAGAAGGAACAAAGAGCAGGATGCAGCCACGTGCTCATTTTCCTCTGCACGTGGACGTTGGGAAAGGTGATTGAATGTGGCCGAACAACTCCGTGAGTGGATTTCCTTGTGTAGTTTTCTCATTCCTTTCCATGGAGAGGGGTCAGGGTTGCTGCTGCTCTTGCTGGGTGTCACTGCGTCGATCCCAACTCGTAGCCACCCTACAAAGGAGAACTACCCCCGCGGGGTTCTTGACAAAAGCGGGTGGCCATGCGTGCTGCAGGGGAGCGGCCGGGTTGGAGCAGGTTACATTTTGGTTAGTCATCAAGCGCTTCACCGTGTGGCCCCACTGGAGTTCCTTGTGTAAGAGTGACGGTGTGTTTCTGTGTTTTATGGTTGGTGTGGTCAGCCACCAAGCCGGCTGCTGACTGGAGGGAACTCCATGCACCATGAAACAAAAGCTACCCGGCCACCACCATCCCGTGACTGAATACAGAATGGCTTGGTGAGACCTGTGGGGTTTTCGTTGACTCTGTGGTTAGAAACTCTAGTGCCAGGCCCCATCCCCCAAGTGCGCCTTTGCCTGCGTGCCCTGCTGAGCACAGTTCAGCATCTTGGCCACATAGAAGTCTGGCAGCGGGGCAATGGCTGTGTGTGACGTGCCTCGGTTGGGAATCAAACCCAGTTTTCCCCCTTGCAACGTGAGAATTCTACCGCTGAGCCATGGTGGCCCCCCATCAATGTCCTACTCCCTGCCATGAATTGATGCCACCCCAAAGTAGCCCTATAGGACAGTGTGGAACTGCCCCTGTGGGCCTTTGAAACGGTCACTCTTTATGGGAGTAGAAAGCTCCGTCTTCCTCCCATGTAGTTGCTAGTGGTTTCTAACTGCTGACCATGTCATTCACAACCCGCTGCATAACCACTACACCCCCAGGGCTCTCCTTGTCTACCTCAACGCCCAGCTCGGACAGAGGAGCCTCATGTTTCCCACAGTGCCTGGCAGTCACGAAAGTGGCCCAGGGACACCTCTTCATGAATCGCCTATCCCTGCGGGGACTCCACGCTGAGGAGACTAGAACCTGTTGTGAGAGGCCAGCCTGCCTGCCTGCCTGCCTACCTACCTGCCTGTCTTGAGGAGAAGAAAATGTTGTCAATGTTGGGGATGCTTCGGAGTCCTTGACGCTGTTCGTTTGGGAGCAGGATATCGTAAAACATTTGCAACCCTGGCCACCCAGCCCTTAAGCTTTTAACTACAATCCAAAAGGTTGGTGGTTCGGACCTACCCAGTGGTTCTGAAGGAGAGAGACCTGCTGCCAGGCCAGGAAACACTATGGGACGGTTCTACTCTTTCATGCGGGGCCAGCGTGAATCGAAACCCGCTCTCGGGACCCTAATAACAGCAGTATGTACACAGACAGCAAGTCCTTACTATTGTCAAAGCCACACCCACACCGCGGTCATTTCAGACGCGCTATGTGGAGAGCTTGCGCTGCCGTGGACAAGGCTGACCTCTTTCCACACGTGGTTGCTATATAGTCTTGGGCTAGTTCAAGCCAGGTATTCCCTGAGGAACCTCACTTAAGACCATCTGTTGGTTTTCTTTTGCTTTACTACATCCTCGTACCCATGGATTTGCAGAACTAGCTGATGTTCCCACTCTCAGATGTTCGATGGCAGATATTCATGCATAATGTGTCCAACCTCTGGAGACATAGAGAGATGGGCTTGGTAAAAAAAAAATACGACTAATAAAAGACAATAATAATGGACACTCCAAAAAAAGAGGTATTCAACTTAGATCAGAATTGATGTTAGGGGGTGGGGAGGAAAAACCGACCTATGCTAGGGCCATTAGAACAGTACCCCATCTTTAATCAGGGACTATTTGTAATCTTTCTAAAATTAGTATCTTCATCTGTGAGATAGAAACAATAATGTGTATTTCCAAGAGCTGTTTTAAAGATCAAATTAGATTATGTATGCAAAAATATTCATTACAGGGCCTAGCACACAGAACTGCTTCCCAAAAAAAGTTACCATTATTCAAAATGTTAGCACCATACCTAGAATGTATGATGTAGTAAATGTACGATGAATTGTAGCTCTTACTTATTACTGTACTTGTTATTGTCCACTAGGCAGGGTTATAATGTTAATGCATTCGTAGTGTTTGATCATAAAACACTGCCCAAACATGTTTAATCAAACCATGAGCACAAGGACTCAAGTCAACCTCTCTGCTCAAAGCAAAATGATTGACAGCATTTGTAGCTGTCACTTCAGCACCATATCCCCCTCTGCTGCCCATCTGTGCCTTCAGATTAATGAGATCTACGTCTTTGCCTCCGAACAGAAGAATCCATCGCAGGATACTGAATCGGGAAGAGGTGCGCATCTTAGAGATATTTAGAGAATGATGATTTGGAGCATTTGTGTTCCTTTCACAGTCACAAAGGACCTAGGCTTCTCTTTGTGTTTAAAGGAAGACACTAAAACAGAAGCTGTTGGTGCCATACCGTGAGCGGAGTGGCCCCAAGAGGAACTAAGAGAGGTGTCTCTTTGTGAGAGGAGCCATCCCCGAAAGAGTCAAATGGCTACTCTTCAATTAGCGTGCTGCACAGAATCTGGTCTGGCATGCCCTCCGTGTGCCGACACTCGTGATGACGCTCGGTTTTGTCTATTTGGGGAGTTGACCCGAAGTTCATTTGCTCTAGTGAAAATCCCTCATTCCAGCCTCTCCAGCCATAGCTCTCCCTGGCGTTCTCCCGTGGGGCGCGCTGCCTGACGACCTCCCAACCTGTCATCGCAGCGTCATCTCAGGGCCCTCACGAACGTGCCTGCCTGGGCCCGTGCTGCACAGACTTTGGGTCGTGTCAGCTTCTTGAATCTGACTAACGAGAATGGTCCCTGACCCTCTCTCCACTCCGCGATGTCACTTGTCCTCATTCCTGCGTAGAAGCACAACACCGCTGGTTCCCACTCCCGCCCACAGAGGAGACACCCTTGGGTGCAAACCACGTCTTCCCTCAGGCTTGCAAAACCCTCCCCATGGAAGATTCATGAGGGGCATCTTTACATTCTGTATAAAGAACAAAGTCAAATGTATAGACTGAAATCATTCGTCTAGGATTTTAAGTTTTCAAATAAAAATAAAACCACATTTCTGATATGCAAGGAAAAAAAAAGAAGAGAGAGGGAAACCAAAGGACCTACGGCTTTGGGAAAATCTGCCTCAGAAGACCTTTGTAAAGTATTATAAAGCAAAGGTGTCTCTTTGAGGACTAAGATGCGTGTGACCCACGCCACGGTATTGTCAGTCACCTTCTCTGAATGAGTGTTAGTCTGGGTGGACTAGAGAAACAAATCCATAGAGACTCATATGTATCTAAGAAAGAGATTTATATTCAAGAGCAATTGAACACATTGAGAAAACATCCCAGCCCAGTCCAGATCAAGTCCATAAGTCTGATATTAGCCCATATGTCCGTTACCAATCTATAAAGTCCTCTTCAGACTTATGAAACACATAGAAGATCACAGGTCAGTGGGTAGAAAGTCTTTGGATCCAGTGGCATTGGAAACATCTCAGCGCTGCAGGGGTCTCTGCATGGCTTCTCCAGCACCCAGGGCTGCATCAGGGTGGGTCCATGCGTCTTGTCAGCTGCTATGCCTCCCAGGGTGTGAGCAGAGAATCTCCCACCTCCAAAGAGGACATTTCAGCAATTCCCAGAATCCTTAGGGAAGACCATGCCCACACAGAGATCTCATTGGCCGTATCCTGATTAACAGCCTAGACTCCACCCCTACACACTTAATCCTCAAACTGACCATTATATACAACTACCGCAGCATGCAAGACCTGGACAGCAAATAAGGAAGAGGACAGAGGGAGTGATGCGGTTGGATTGTGGTGTCAGTGGAGAATATTGAATATCCCACGGACTGGCAAAGGAAGAAGCAAATCTGTGTTGGAAGAAGTACCACCTGAATGCATCTGGGAAGCGAAGAAGACAAGGCTCTGTCTCGTGCTGTCTGGACGGACCGGATAATAACTCATCAGAGCCCACGTGGAACTCTTCGAAGAGATGAATGCACACAGTAGCTGCAACCACGAGCGCAGACGTAGCCCGGCTGTGAGGATGGTTCCGGGCAGCGTCCATGCTGCTGTGCGCAGGGGTCACGGTTAGTGGGAACCAAGTCCCTGACCGGTCCCCAACAACTGTTCATTTTAATTAACATGATTAAGTGAATAGCATCCAGACACTAAATGAAGAAGTGGCTGAAAGGAATAGGCAGGTTGACACTGAAGATGGTAAACTATGGTACAGTGTTGCAGCTCTGGTTGAAGGATTAATTAATGCCCAAATGGTCCTAGAGGAAGGATTCTTAATTGCGGGCTAAGGAGACGACCCCAAAGCAAAGATCCTGGAAGAAAACGGCAATTTCATCCATGTCTTTTACTTGTAAGCACTTGCACTCCTAAAAGCCCTCTAACAGCTAAATAATGCATTTGGTAGTCTCAAGAAAATGTAATAAACTGTCATTTGTGATAAACTTAGTATCAGACTCCTCGGCGTTTAATAAGGTTACTAGTGATTTGCATGTTTGTTTTTCTAGTGCTTGTAATTTTCGCATCCTGTTGTGGGTCCTTAATGTGGCTTACCGTTGTTGTGAAGAGATTTTAAAAGATTCCTTTCTATTTTTCTTTTCTTTTTAATCATTTTATTGGAGTCTTGTACAGCTCTTACCACAATCCATCCGTC